AAAACTATAAATTGCTGAATATAATAAATTCCAAACAAAATTAGTTCACGACAATCAGAACATAGAATATGTGACAAACAAACCTGTGCAACACCATAGCTTTCTTCATAAGCATTTTGTCCAGCTGGATTCCCAGAAGCCTCTATTTCATTGTTCTGGGTAGTACCATAAGGTCCACCTACATGCAGGTGTAAAATATTAGTGGTAGACAAAGTAGGAGGAATTTAAGAGGGATGAGATTATCCGACAGAAAGTCTGAAATAGAAGTAAGCAGGAATACCATGTCTTCTCTCTAAACTAGTAGTATTTGTCAACTCTGCCCTAAGCTTCTCCAGTTCCCTAGCCATGGTGATATAATTCTTTTCCATCACCTGAAGTGACTCAAGATGATCATTGTATAATTTTTTCTCATAATCATAGGTTGCCCTGCAAGGTCAATAACAAGGTCATGGCATTTTCCAAATGAGGAACCTAACCCGAGAAGAGCTAAGGAAACAAGACAAGCTAGGGCAACATCTACAACCACAAGCCAGGGGCCTAACCAAAAATGCAAACAAACTCAACCATAGAATTTGAGAACTGAATTTGACTGAATCTACCAGGCATCATACACGTGAAATAACTTGAGTAGTCATGAGCAATCCTAAAAATTCCCTMTAGAAAGTAAATGCTATAAAGATAACAYACCTACAATGCTGATATTCCTGCCTCAAACTCTCAAGTTCTGACATCAAAACTGGAACCTGCTGCACGTCTGCATGGGCCCTCTGAAGGTCTTGGGTCAAATGTTGCACTCTAGTAATAAGTTCCTGCCTTGCTACAATCAAGTTCTGTGCATCTGCTTTTGCTTGCTGTAACTCTACCTTAATTGGCTCAGCTGCTTGTACTTCAGCTTCCATCTTTGCAATCTTATCTGAAAGATTCCTTGCTTGCTGTTCTCTTTCAGATTTCACAGCTCCGATCTGAGCGTGAAGAATCTGCAACTCATGCTGTGCAGCAGCAAGCTCTTGCCTCAAAGTTCCATGGGTAGCAGCAAGTCTCTGATTCTCTGTTGCGAGTTTCTGTATCTCAATATGTTGCCCAGCTAGCTTCTGTTCCATTACTTCTGGAGGAGGCAACATATCGAAGGGAGGAAAGRCACCTGGCGGAGGACGTATTCCATGACCAAATGGTTCTGGATGCAGTACACCAGAACCTGGAATAGCTCGCCTTGCATGTGGAGGCGGAATACGACCTTTACTGCCCATTTTTAATAGCTATGAGTCACCTGCGTAAATCAAAATCTAACACAGACTCCATTACTACAGGCCAATGCTAACCAAATAGTAAATAGCAAAAAGCTTGGACAAGTACGAAAACTCTTAAATATTTAAACTTTAAAAATAATCTTCATTCAAAACGATAATGCAGAACACCAAGAAAACTCTGGCCTTAACAGAAATGAGCCCATAAAGTGATAGGGGCAGACAGAGAGTAATTCATATCTGCATCAAAATAAATGAATCTTAAGCTGAAGAGAGGACATTTTTGCACCTCCTCCCATTTAGCTTCCACCCTCTACGGCCTCTACAGTTCATACATACCATGCCACTACGATACTAAATACGACACAATAAACAAACACTTCGTAACCTAAATCGTAAGGTGCAGCAACTTTACAGCGAACCCAAAATCGAATTCGTTAAAGAAGACGCATCCAATAACAAACAGAACTTGGAAAGAAATTGCATAAAGAACACTCGTTGAGGTGAGAAAATATATACTGTCGAAGAGCCACGGAAAAACTAGATACTGGTAATTGATGGACGGGAACATGAAAGAAAAATCTAGGGTTTTCAAGAAATGACAACGAAGATAAAACCGGCGTTTGCTTACCTTCACCGAATACTCCGGGCCGGAAAACTCGTCGGCGGACGTTGAAATCGGAGAGGTAAAGAAATGGGAAGATGGCCTATCGGAAGGAGTTCTTCACCAACCCCCGCTGCCACTGCTTAGTAAGGACTCGCCATCACACCCAATTTTTTAAATTACGGAAATTTTTATTTTTTATTTACGTAAGTTAATTATTTAATTTTATCAAATTAAATCCAATCTTTAGTTAAGGTTAAAATTGACCAATTGTGTTAACAAAAAACAATTGATAACTTAAAGTCTAGATTAAGGTATATCTACTAAAAATTGTGACTCGACCAAAAAAAGTAGAAGTTAAACAAAAAAATTCGTAACAAATTTTAAATTAACAAACTTCAGCACAGGCTTGCTAAAAAAACTAACAATAATAAGTTAGAATTAAATATAAAATTGCATAACATACCTATTGTTGGTTACTAAAAAAAATTAATTATTTYTGGGAAAAAAAATAATTGCAACAATTTCATAATCATTTTAAAAATATGTACATAAAATGGAAGTTGCGAATAATGCGAATAATTTTTGCAATTCGCCGTCATTTTTACCTTTATCATTTCATTAATCATATTATTATGATGTAGAGTTGAAGTAATACATTAATTAGTCTACAGTAAATTGAAATTTAATATTAAATTAGATTAAYTTCATACGCCAATATTGTATTTAAAACTAAATAACACTATTTTTTTAGAACATTAAATGCCTCTAATAATTTTTATAAGATTCTTACTAACAAAACATGGCAAAGAAACACAACAATCTTACACCRTAATATCTCTGGTTTTCAGTCCTCTAAAGATATCAAACATATACTCGAGATTCTTGCAAGCAAACGACCCGTTAACGATTTGTTAGCTCGTAAAACGACATCTAGATCCGCTACATATGAATCTGTAAATCTAGAGCCTCATTAAAGCTACACAAGCCTTGAAATCTTTTGAGTTCAAGTTCAAGCCACCTGAGGAATGGTGGTKAGTGATTCTTGGATCTTCTCCTCTGCAAAAGAAAGATCTGTCATCCCTCCTTGCAGGTACTTCTCATAAGCTGGCAAGTCGAAGTGACCGTGCCCGCACATGGCTGTGAGAATAACTTTCGATTCTCCGGTTTCCCGACACCGAAGAGCCTCTCGGATCGTTGCAGCTATGGCGTGAGTTGGCTCGGGAGCTGCTATTAGTCCTTCTGATCGAGCAAACTGTATTGCACCTGCAAACAAAGAGAAACTCAGTTGCTGTTGCTGTTGCTGTAATTCCAGTAGTTGGTTCGCTTAACTTTTGAATAAATTCTGGTACCTTGAAAGCACTCTGTCTGGGGAAGTGATATAGCTTCCAAAAGACCGAGATTATAGACATGTGAGATCAATGGAGCCATACCATGATACCGTAATCCACCTGCGAAAAAGTGTTGAGCCGAGACGATGATCAAGAGAAACAAAGAGTTTGATGCATTATATCTGTTTCGATAGCGTATTATGTGTTACCACTTACCAGCATGAATTGGGTCAGGAATGAAGTTGTGACCAAGGGTGTGCATCTTCATCAATGGAGTCATCCCGGCTGTATCGCCAAAATCGTAAGCGTAGACGCCTTTTGTTAACGAAGGACAGGCTGCGGGTTCAACTGCTCTAAGAATGGGGTTTATTTTCCCAGCAAGTTTCTCGCGGAGGAACGGGAAGCTAAGACCAGCAAAATTTGATCCACCACCGGTGCATCCTATGATGACATCCGGGCTCTCGCCTAAAGCTTCCATTTGTTTTAGACACTCTTCACCAATGACGGTTTGGTGAAGCAAAACATGGTTGAGGACACTTCCCAAACAGTACTTGGTATCAGCATTCAGAGCTGCAACCTCCACAGCTTCTGAAATGGCAATTCCTAAACTTCCCGGGCTCGAGGGGTCGACTTGAAGCAATTTTCTACCTGCATCTGTAAGATCTGAAGGAGATGGGTGGACTTTCACCCCCCAAGTTTGCATCATCAGTCGTCGATACGGTTTTTGATCATAAGAAGCACGCACTTGCCACACCTATTTAACAAAACAAGACAAATTCACTGTGATATGTTTCAGAAGCAACCAAGAAGTATAAGTTTTGAACAGTTTTCTCGACATCTAAATCGATAGTTGATCGTAACTTCGATTTTATACTACATATCAATCACAACTATTTCCCCTTACCTCACAACCGAGACCGAATATGCTACAAGCAAAGGCCAAAGCGCTTCCCCATTGACCAGCCCCAGTTTCTGTAACAACATTCTTGACACCTTCCTGTACATTATACCAAACCTGTGGAACAGCAGAGTTCGCTTTATGTGATCCGGCAGGGCTGACTCCTTCATACTTGTAGTAAATTCGGGCTGGCGTGTCAAGAAGCTTCTCTAACCTCTTGGCTCTAACATAKATCGAAAACGCTGTTAGATACTCTAGAGCAATGAAAAATGCAAGTATGGAAAACTTAGCAGGGAAAGGATTCAAGATGTCATACAGAAAACATTATGGCAAATAAGCTTGCATACATTTTAAGGACATACCATACCACAAACCTGATAAGAGGAGTCGGGCGCCAAAGCCCGTAGATATCAACAACTTCGTCGGGGATGTTTATGTACCGATCAGTACTGGCCTCTTGCTCAATCAATGCATCAGGAAAGAGAGGTGATAAATCTTGGGGTTTGATTGGTTGGAAAGTCTTGGGATGCAACGGAGGAGGAGGTTTTACAGGAAGATCTGCAACCAGATTGTACCATCGACGCGGGACCTCGACTGGCTTTAAATTACGATTCGATGCTGCTCTTGTTCTATAACCATTTGAGAACCTCAAATTTCTTGGATTTCTCTTTAGTGAAAGGCGTCCAGGCAGTTCCTCCCCAACTGAGGTGAAGTAGTTTAAATGGTCAGAAATGTGGGGAACGGGGCAGAGAGGGAGGGAGGGTGGTGTAAAGATATAAGTATCCATTGGGGAATCATCACAGCATTTTCATTAAATGTTCTCTATAGCTAAGATGATTTACTCTCCTTTAAAAAAAAATAAAAAATTTACCAGAAACTTAGGCTTTCATCGAGAGAAATGAAAAGATATACAAAGGCGTATAAAATGACAGTCCGACAAAAGGAGGTCCTCCAGATAAAGGAACTCCAATCCAAAGAATAACACCTGACCGATAATTACAGAATGCCTTAGAAGCGAASTCCCACGATAATGATTTACTCTATTAAGTTTGGAAAGCAAAGCAGGAAAATGCAGTTTACTGTGAAAAATAAAAGAAAAGGCAAAAGTGGATTCAGAATCATCACATGTCTGACTAAAGCAAGCAAAAAGCTTCCAAAACACAGCAGCATATCATCAAGCAATAAACCAGACAAATGCCACTTCAACAGTGAAATCTGCCACTTCAACAGTGAAATCTCTCTCTCTCTTACAGATACTGTTTCTTGCCTTTAATTTTACAGCTGATGTTGGTTTTACAGTCCACCATCTTTCATTTCCTCAAGGCCAAAAGAGGAAAAAAAAAACAACTAGATTATGTCCAAACCAAAAATCCCCACAGATTCTGCAATTTCATCTCCAAACTTTAACCAAAAGCAAAGGTCATTTTGAAGGTAAAACAAGATTCCACAATCTGAGTCAGAACTAAAAGACACAAAGAAGTAGAGAAATGACTAAACAAAGCGCGATCAACGTCCACAAGAAGTAAAATGAAAAGGGTTCACGATTCGATCCATTTACAGCTTCATTTCATAGCAGGTGAAGTTGGAAACCAAGATAAAGGAAGATATAAACACAGAAAAAGAAGGGGAAAATGAAGTGCCTCTGCCATTGATGGCTGGAGAAGTCGACGATGCAGCAACAAGGAAGTGAGAGGCCATTTTCCCAGACGGATTTTCAACCTTCTCTGTGAAAAAACGAAGAAATTGAAGCGTGAAAACGGATGAAATGAGAAGCTGTGGAAGATCAAAAGAATGCAAACAGGGTTGGTGCGTAGGATCGATATCAGTCAAATTTTCTACTAATAGTCGTCGGAGAAGAATAGTCAAATGTAAGGATCTGAAGAAATTAAATATGGATGACTTCAGCTAGACGCAGTGCGATGCGACACGACAACGGAGTCTTGTTTTCTTCTTCTTCGTTTTAAATTTGAGAAAGAAAAAGGAAAAACATTAATTATTGAGATTGTGATTGAAAAGATACAAGAGAGTGTTGGTTTGGGAAGATCAATTTGCAAAGCAATTTTTAGAAACAGCACTTTGAAAAATTAATCCAAATATATATTTTCTTTTTGTAGAAAAAATATAGTTTTCATAATCACTCATCACGCAGCCCAAACTTTGAAAAAGTCTGACCCGGATGAACATTATACTTTGTAAGAGTTGAATATCCACTTAGTCAAGGGAGTCATGATCGGGTTAGGTTGGGTTAGAGTTGCAATATTTTTTAGACTCAATTTAATTGTTCGGATGGTAATTTATTCCATTTGAACAATTCTTATTTCGTAAAAAAGAAAAAAAAAACTCAAACAACTCTTATTTAAATAATAAACTTGAGGTATAATTAAAAAAAAAAAGTAAATGATAATATCTTAAATGTTTTTTTATACAGTGTTGTCACTTTTCAATCCAGATTCGTGAGTCAAATTTTTTTTTAATGCGGTGAAAAGGTTCACTAATTTTTTTTTTTAAATTGTTGTATAATAACTAATTCATAAAAAGTTATTAAATGAAATAAAATTAAAATAAATATAACCGGATGTAATTTTTAGGAGAATTAAAAGAAATTTTTTTTAAAATTAATAATAAGTTTTGGTTTGGTCTAACCCAAATTTATTATATGTGAACTTTTGAACTAATCTAAATTATAGAATTTTCATTTATTTGAACCCAATCCAACTCGAATAAAGGCGTCAGTTTGTGGAACCATTTAAACCTTTTTTTTTTCTGTGACAAAATCTAAACCTATTCTTAAAACTTATGAACCAAAATTGCAGGATTTTAAAACATTAGCATAAACTCTAAGCCCAAAAGCATACTTTTTCCCTTTTTTTTCCGAAAAAATACAACTTCAATCCATGTCACTTAAGTTTTAAAATTAAAAACTAATTTGAATGGTGAAAACTTATCCTCGACACCTTTTAAACTTTTTTTTTTCCTTTTAATCCATCTACCTATTAAATACAAAATAGAAAATTATCGATTTTATTAAACACAAAATTCTATTTTCTATCTAATAGATTCGTTAATTAAAAAAAAAAGACGAAGATCTATTAGACACTTTTAAAATCAATGGTCAATGGACTTATTAGACACAAAATTGAAAGTTTAACGGCCTACTAAATACCAGATACCGACCTAAAAGTCCAGATATTTAACTTTATTTTATTCTCTAACAAACAGACGTCTCAAAATTTGTATTATTTTGAAACACATAAGTTATAGAAGAAAAGAAAAGACATAAATAAATAAAAACCATCTTTTAAGCGAAGTAGCTCATGCATCTAATTTGAGAAATTTCTTAATGATACCCATCATCTCACCACCAGGAAACCGCCCAAGACATCCCCTGGCAGCTGCAATCTCATCAAACTCCCAAACTGAGTCACCTCCAAAAGCTTCACACTCTTTGCTCCTCCCCTCCACCTTTTGGACTTCTCTCCAGTCCAAGTCCTCGCCGGGTACTATCGTTGGGAGCGGAAACGGGTCGAGGGAAATGCCTGCAATTACCGACTCCCCGCCCACAGCGCCAACAAAGTCTTTCAATCTACATATTGCAAACGGAACTGGCTCAAAGCTGTGATCTCCATACTCAACTGGAGTAGAATGATCTCCAGTCACGCACAGGTAGTACTGGAAATCCCCAGTAGATTCTGACTTCCAAAGAAGCTTGGCTAGTTGTCCTATTGCTTTATCAACAGCTTCCATTCCCTTAACTTTGAATATTGTTGCCTTATCGTGCCCTGCGTCGTCTATTGCCTACAATATCAGAAGCCGAACACTACTCTCAATGATATCTACAGTATCATGAGATAAACAAAACCATACTAAAAAGTAACCAAGATTGGAAATTCAAGTAAGAGTATTGCTATGATTGAGTTTATGTAATCTGGGAATCTGACTTTCCTTTTGTATAAGAACTTTGAAGTCAATCTTCAACAGGCAAAAACTTTGCATTAGTGTGTGCTTGGCATAGTTATTGCATATGTAGTGAGAACTTCATAAGAAGGTTTCCCAAAGATTATTAACTAATCGATGCATTCTGGGGAGTTGAGGAGAAAATGGACTGACCTTCACATGAAGGAACCCAAAATCATAACCATCTGCCCGACCTGGTTTGAACTCATCTTCTCCCGGCACAAAAACATTGGGACAAGCTTGTAAAGGAGCTGAGAGTCCCTTTGCTATTGCAGTGGCTTTAGAGGTTAAAAGTGTTCGATAATCTCCGGTTGCTCCCGGAGCATCTAGGATATCAATTCCTAGTGATAAGCCCAGACCAGCTATAATTTTAGTGGGAGCAACCATGCATGGCCACAAATCATGTTTCTTCTCAAATGAAGGAACCTGTTGTGCAGATTGAAAACTGTGAGAAAGAGTCAGCCCATTGAAGAGAATTTCACGGATGCAGTCAGTGTCGTCGAATGACATCTCACTAAAAGGCAAAAGCTCATCACAAGATCCCAAGTTTTCTACCCAACTCAAAGAATACAAGTTCTTCAAGTGCATGATTTACATGTTGCAATGCAACCGATTCTATTTTTCATAAATGTAAGAGGGCTATGAAACGAACATCATTCTGAGTGTATCTCGCTTTTGCATTTTGTGGGAGGTGAAGCAGCACCAAATGAAAGGAAGTAGAAACACCATCACAGCAATCTTATTAATGGAAGCTCCATGCAAATAGCATAGAAAAGAAAACAAACAAACCTCAATTCGAATACCACAACCTCGTAAAAGAACAATGTTGGCTATGTTCTTCCTTTCTGCCGCCCGCTTTGCATTTATTGGGTGAGAAACCAGGATTCGTGAGATTTCCTTGGATAACTCATTAACAACAGCTGCAGTAAGCTTCGCTTCATCAGAACCATCTAAAGCCTCTGCTTGCAAAAGCAAGCGGTTGTCCTTCAAAGGGTCTGTTCCTGATATATTCCCACTCAAATTTGGTCCTTTTACAACCACTCCACATCTATGCTCCGTGGCATATCTGTAGGGAGATAAAAGAAGAGGAAGAGATATATCTTATTATCCGGCTTTAAGATTAGAAGTCTTGAACAAAGAATATGGCCATATGAGATCAGATCAGAGGACCTAAATGACTCTTTTACACTAGGAATTATAATCCATTTTAGACTTCTTTGACAACTCTTGTAACTAAAATCTATCTGCGGATTCTCACTTTTCTGATACCAGATGAATTGATATATTGAAATATTGTTATACAACGTATGCTTATTTATAAACTGATTGAATCTACCAGATATGATGAAACATTTGAAATGATACAGGGGGTACCAACTACCTCACTCGAACTTCGTACTCTGGGAAACTTGGTATCTTCATTCTATCAAGTGCTGCACATAAGATTGGCCCTTCCTCCTCGAAGTGTCTATCAGCCCTCCTACTGGTTACTATTCCCGTTTTCTCGTCCAAAGTAGCAAAGTTTGACTACAATTGTGAAGTCACTAGTCAATTTGCAGACTAAAAAAATGAAAAAGAAGAACTATGATGATACTCTTTCCACATTTCCCAACAAAAATAGCCAGAAGAATAGAGAAGATGAAATTAAAAAAAAAATAAAAATAAAATCACAAATGAAGGTCTCCAGTAAGAAGACAATGTGAATGTAGGTACAATGCGAGTGGAACAATGAAAGAGAATGGATATAGCAACAACAATACAAGTTCCCAGTTCCAGACAAAAATTAACCGGACAGATAGAGGGGAATTTGGTTTTAATTATATGATTTAGTTACAAGATTTCTCCTTTAGAAAGAGTCTAAGATTCAGTGAAAAGCAGTAAGTCGTAAAATTATGAGAAATTTTAACATTTGTTTCCATGCCAAGTAATAGGTTTTAACAGATCACATAAGATTTGCATAAATTTTCCATCACTCATTGAGTTCAGACTCTCTAAACTTGAAGAGAAAACATCCAGCTAAGCCAATTATTGCCTTCTCTTTTCATTATTTAACTAAAAACCTAGACCAATCAAAATCTTATTGCGTTTCCATCTTATGCGTATTCTAGTTTCAAGAGCCAGTAATAAATGATTAAAAAGTAGGAAGGACTATAATGTAGGAGAAAAATAGAGATTTTCAAGAACTCAAAGTACACCTTGAACGCAATGTCTCCAGGTAACATAGCCAATCCTGCTCCCATGGACTCGAATGCACCTCGACCCCTATAATATACTCTTGGGTCATAGCCCAGTAGAGAAAGATGAGCTGTGTCACTTCCACAGCCCAACCCTACTTCGACAGGGTCCATGAGACCATTAACACCAGCAGAAGCAATCGCATCCAAGTTAGGTACTTTGGCCACTTGCAGAGGAGTCATAAATCCAAATTTTGGTAACGAGACATCACCCAGTCCATCAATAAGCACAAAAGCCACTCTTTTCTTAGGTTGCTGGGGATTAACCATGATTGCACAATCTCGGTGCTCCAGATCACTTTTTCCTGCTTCCTAAATATCAAACAGGATCACAATCACAATGCCAGTGGACAGGGTTGCAATGTAACAAACCCAAACTTATGCAAATAAAAGTTGAAGCCTCATTCCATAACAATTTCCTTCTTGTTTTAGAACTCCTTCCCCTCTTTTGAGTTCTTACAAAAGAAGAAACTTTTAGAAACTACTTCTTTTAGTTTTTAAATTTTGATAAAAAAAAAATTAAAAACACTTCAAAACTGTGGATAACATAACATAGAGATTATGAATAAACAAGCCTCTGTTTTGAAAACAGAAAATTAAAATTGGCTATCAAACATGTCCTGTAGACAACTTTCCTCCAAAAAAATAAATATTAGATAAAAAAAATGAATTACCTAATGAACTGGCAAGTGCTCAGAAATATTTCTGCTCAATTATCAATGCAGTTGCAATAGTCAAATAATCCAGAAATCCCTTAACAGATGTATGGATGCAACCTGTCAACAATGCAGAAGCTCAATAATACTTGTTAAAGAGAAAATTGTAACGGATTTCCATCAAAACATCCAAGCTTTAGAAACGAATTGCATTGGATCAAGCAGATAAAGATTCAACCTCAATTTTCGATAACAGACAGGTAAAGAAATAAAGATTGCAAGGTGAGCCACCCTGTATTTTTACATATTTCATTGAAATCGACAAAGACGCCGAAGCAATTCCGTACCTCAAGAGCCTCTGCGCAGGTTTTAGTCTGAACCCATAAGAGGACGGAATATGAACACCCTGTAAAGTTCTGCTTTGGATGGCCTATAACAAGTCGCGAGCATTTTCCCCCATTCCAACTTTATTCCGCTTTCCAAATCACTTTCGACAGTGGAAATGTTCAAAACTCCAAAATAAAAGATGAGATTCTCGGAATCTATATACCGATCAACGAATAAATAAGAGAACAAATATATAATACCCAAAATGAGGTGCAGAACAAGACAAGAAAAGATAATGTTGAATTGAACTGAACAAGTAAGATAATTACAACTTACAACTATTTTTAAGGATTAAAGAAATGGAAGTAAAGTATGAAGTAAAATTCAAAAAATGCTTACAATTACTCCATTTTTAGGATCTAGCGATCCAATCTCTAGCCCGTAAAGAGAGGGGGATCAAGAAACAGATGCTGGCCGCTGCGAAGCGATCTGTTTGTCGACGGGGAGAGAAGGCGGCCGGCGGTGGTTTATCGAGTGACGGAGCAAGGATGGCCGGATTTCACAGGGGAAGCCGATGGGAAGAGAGAACCGAGAGCGATAATATTTTTCAATTACATTGAGAATTAAAATTTGTTGAACAAAATACAAAGAATTTTGTTTTTTGACAAAGAATGTTAAATTACAAGTTTATTCCTTATTTTATTTTTAACTTTAACTTCAATTCGGTTTTTTTTTTTCTTTTTTTTTTGGTTTTGTTGGCATGGATCAGTTTATTGTTATATTATTTACCTTTTAAAGTCAAAAATTCAAATTCTTTGGCTCTTTATTGAAGGTAAAGTTTTGGAGTATTGAAAAGAATTTTTAAAATTACGTATAAGATGTCCCATCAACTTTTATATATAGACACGCAGATAATTATCTTCAATTATTCTTAGGATGGAAGGGAGTTAAATCTATAGATTTAGAAATTCATTTTGGACAGTCGAACCTTTCGATTAGTGAGATAATGAGAATAAACTTCATCGTCAAGAGGGAAAGAGTCCATATCACCATCTAAGACCCTTAAATGACCACTCGGTGATAAAAGAGGTAAAGGTGTAAAGACAGTCGAGACGCGTAGAAGCAGCCCCTTTGAAAAAGTGAATTTTCTCGAGAATTGGCAAAAATTTCACCTATTAACTTTTAAATATTTAAGAGAGAAGCAAATGGAAGGTATAGACTTTTGAATTATGACAAATAGTTCCACTAGTAAAATATAATGTTGTATAAATGCTAAACTAAAATTGCCAATGTACACACAAAAACTTAGTTTGGAGAGTTGAATGCTCCACTCTTAATTTATACAAAGACTAAACTAAAAGTAAAAACGTATAATGACAAAATATAATTAATTGTCTTTAAAAAAATATATATAAATAATTTTATATCATAATAAAAGAAATAAATTTTGTTTTTTTCCGTACACAAAAAGATTTTGAAAAATGAAAACATTTGAGATTCCATAACTTTCTTTGTTTTTTTAACACATGAAGATTCCATTCATATCCCTCTCTTCCAATTTGTTTCTTCTGTGACAATTGAGCTTACATCCATCATCTATTTGTTTCTATATGAGATGGAGACACAAGCAACTTGTCCTTTCAATTCAAACAACAAGTTCTAGTTCATGCAAATAAGATAAGAAATTATAGGTCTAACTCGTAGTTGAATAGAAGAGATACTTCTTTTTCTTTCAATATGATTTAAAGATTGGAACTGAAAATGCAATTCATGTGTATAACGACATTATAGTATATTTTAAATATACAAACTTTCAAGCTTATAAGTTCAAAAATAAAATTCAAACCTCGGATTCACTAAAATGTGAAATGATACCATTTAAAACTTCCCAAAGGTTCAAATTACAAGTAAATATTGTAAAAAAGGAAACAAGTACAAAGAAATTGCAAATCTTTGAAGTGGCTAATGGCTCCTCTTTCACCCCAAGTATTCTTTCACTCTCCTTGCCATCTCCTTTCTGCATGCATCAAGAAATCTTACCAAGTTAGTTTCGAATTTCATTTTTGTACATAAACTTTGACTACGAGAGAGTGCTTTTACCTCATAAGTTGTCTATCCAAATTCGACGTAGATAAGAGACCTCTATTTTCTTCGGCCCTTCTTAAGAGATATGGCATTACCATATCCACAGGTCCAAATGGCATGTATTTGCTCACTTGAAAGCCTGCATTTCTCAATCCAAATGAAAGTGCTTCTGACATTCCATACAATTGGGCAAACTCTAACTTTTGCTTCAACTTTCCAATCCCTATATCATATGCTTTGCTAGCTGCCAATTTCCCTATTCAAAAACACCATAAAATTTTCATTAAACATAGTTCAAAAGCCTTAAAATATGAAGAAAGAGTTATATGAAGCACAGTTCTTTTTCTTTTACCTGATTCCACGTTGTGGGTTGCGAGAATAACTCCACTCGAGCCATTGGCGATGTTGTCGAGTAGGAAAGATGCGCAGCTGTTGTAGCACGAATGCGTTTCCTGAATGCTGTTATGAATCGGAGATTCAAACCCTAAAGAAGAAGCAATTTTGGATTCGCTCGACATGTAAGCACCTCTCACCAGCTTAATCCCGAGCGGGACTTTCATATCGTCAGCAGCCTTAGCCACTAACAACAATCGGTCTTTCGCGTCCTTTAGATACGCTTGAACGGTCCCGTACACAATCGGGTTGTTGTCTTTATTGTGGATGATGGCGGCGGAGTACGTGAAGTAATCGATAGCGGGTTGGACTTTGGTGTGCTCGGCGTCGATGGCCAATGGAACATTGGCATCAACACAACTTTGGCAGATCTTCATGAGCCTCTGATGGCTAATTTGGAGGCTTTGTTCTTCTTGTGGTGTTAGGGGATTGGGTTGGTGGAGAGTGTGATAGAGAGGGCTTGACTGGGAGAAAATTGGGAAAGTTTTGAGCTTCCATGGGAGATTGAAACAAGGGTTTTTTTGTTGCCATCTTAACAAATCACTAACTCTCTCAAGCAATCTCAATGGACAAATTGCACTTACTTTAGCCACCACAAAACTTGCCTATCAAAAGCACAAATTTTCTCAGGAAACAAACAGAAAATTGCCAAATTGGAAACAGACAGCTCTTCAATTGATGAACAAATTCAATTCGATGACAATTCCAAGATTGTTACTCTTAAAAATGCTTTTGAAGAAATCAAATGCCACGTGGCGATATATCATCCATTAGAGAGACTGACGTGGCAGCATTATCCTGTCTAACTATGTTGCTTAAATAGCATGACCATTGACCATTCCAGAAGCAAAGTGCTAACTTTTTTATAACAATAAGTTATTGACTTTTTTCTTTTAATTTTCCTAGATAACATAATATAGATAAATATTTTTAGATATAGTCTAAAGTTTAAAATTTTTATGTAATGTAAAATATACTAAGATTATAGTATATTTTTAAAAAAAAATGAAGGTGTGACATTTTAAAAGATACAGTGAAATTTTATTTTATTTTATTTTTCCTTTCTCAAATTTGTCATTTTCCATTAAAAAAGCTGAGTCACACCCACGCAAACAGAGCTTTTCGAAGAATCCAGATGCTGTAATTCTAAAGGTTCAACCTATTTTATTTATTTTATCTTTGCAAAAAAAAAAAAGAATCTTATTTCTTTTCTTTTTTTTTAATATTTTAATCACTAAAATTCTGTATCTATTTTGTTTTCATTCAAAGATTTTGAATATTCTGTCTTGATCGTAAACTTGAAAGAAAAGATACAAATTTTCAGCATCAATTCTTGCTCTAAAAAACTTTCCATTTAACTCCATTCAATCACGAAAATTAAAATAGTTTTTCATAGAAAAAAAAAAAGAAAAATAGAAGCGGATGATCGGATCGTGAACTTACAGAAGCCGGGGGGAGCGATCGAGTGGA